CGCTAGAGCACTGTTGGGAATTTTTCGCGCCAGCTATGCGTGGGGTTACATCCCTCAGGCATGGAGGGTGGCTAAAGTGACGTATATTCCGAAGGTGGGTAAGCGACCAAGCAACCACCCAAGGTCTTTCCGTCCAATCAGCCTTACTTCTTTTCTATTGAAAGCAATGGAAAAAGTGATTGATAGATTTATACGGGACGGTGCACTGGGAAGCAATCCCTTGCATGAATCTCAATACGCCTATCAGTCGGGAAGGTCTACTGTACTCGCTCTGCAGAGTCTGGTGGGGGTCCTTGAAAACTCACTGGAAGTGCGGGAGGTAGCAGTTGGCTGCTTCCTTGATATAGAGGGAGCTTTTGACAACACCCCATATCATGTCATCTGTGAGTCGTTGCACAAACGAGGGATTGATGCGACGACTAGCAGATGGGTCAATCGGATGCTACAGGATAGGATTATTAAGTCCACCATAGCTGACGATATACTCTTCATCTCCGCTGCAAAAGGATGTCCGCAGGGCGGGGTTCTTTCGCCCCTCCTGTGGTCCATTGTAGTGGATGATCTAATAGCTGCTCTCAGGGGCTCCGGGGCGCGTGTCTGGGGATACGCTGACGATGTGGCCTTCGTCGTGCGGGGAAAATTTGAGAGCACTATTTCTGATCTTCTACAGCAAAATTTACGTGTTGTGGAAAGGTGGTGCAAAGGCGTTGAGTTAAATATAAATCCAAGCAAGAGCACTTTGGTCGCCTTCACCAGACGCAGAAGCAGGGACAGATTAACGAGCCCAATTCTGTTTGGTGAACGTATTAGTTACTCGAGGGAGGTGAAGTATCTGGGGGTAACCCTGGATGATCGTCTCTCTTGGAATACCCATATCGATAGAGTTATCGGGAGAGCTACGGCGGCCTTGTGGACGTGTAGGAGCTTCATCGGGGGGACCTGGGGAATTAGTGCAACCCTTGACCCGTATTGCACAGTGTTCCAGGCCGAAATACATGCAATAGAGATCTGTCTGAGAATCAATTCCGCCGTGGGGGCCAGGCTTGCCTGCCTACTCGCGGCGGAATGCAGTCGTCACTGGCGGGACACGAAAGGGTGCCGTCATGCGAAGGTGTTTGTTCCGGCGTGCTCCGGCGGATTCGCTGCGGAGTTGCTGGGGATGAGCAGGAGCCGGGTTCGCACTATTGCGAATTTCTTCACGGGGCACTGCCCGGTGAAATACCACCTGCACAGGCTGGGGAAGTCGGGCTCCCCCCTGTGCAGATTTTGTGGGGGTGGCGATGAGACCGCCGTGCACATTCTCTGCGACTGTCCGGCACTGGCTGTTCGGCGCCGCAATTGTCTTGGACATGGGTCCCTAAGTGTTCGGGAACTATTGTCCAACTCCCTTAGGGATATCTCCGGCTTTGTGATTGGGACGGGGATATTATAGACGGGAGAGTGGGGTGGCTACAATAAGTCAAAAATGGCTGCGGTGGCTTGGGGGATGCTCCTGTCCCCACTCAGTTCCCTTAGAATCTACAATCTACAATCTCTGAATATAACAGACTATATGAGAGAAATTATTGACAACCACCGGAATGAAATTTCTTAATTTATTCTCCAAGTACTAATATATTACCTACCTTATCGAATCACTATGAAATTACATAATATGTACATATTTTTGTTCAAAATTTTCACATGTTATCTTACCGTGGATACTGAAACATGATTCCAATACAATTAAATCAGAAAACATGGTTCCACTATTTTAATTTAATACTAACCATAATTTCGTTTTTTCATGTTATTATGAAAGTTACATGATTTTTAACATTTTAATTTATTCTAAAATATTGTTGTTTAAATTAAATTAGATTTATGTTTTCTATTGTATTTTTGGAAGTACATAACATTTTTAATATTTTAGAAAAATTATTTTTAATACGCTTTCATATATTTTAAAAACAAAAAACACGGTATTTCTCAGAAGATTATATTATGGAATTTATAACCAAAATGATATTAATTTGAAATTTGTGTGTTGTTTCAAAAAATTATGAAAGGAAAATTCTAGATATAATCTGTAATTCCCCTAACCACACATTGTCGGTTAGGGGAATTCGATTATGAATGCATTAATATGGGTTGTCCTAATTCATAAGTTGCGGAATTCATCTATCATATACGAATTTTTAATTCAATTTTGAAATTATTAATATTAAGCTATGGAAAATATTTTATTTGATCCGATAAAAATTTTGTAAATTTCTTCCAATTGAATTCACTGGAAAATACAAAATGTTCTACTATGTTGCATATTATGATATAGTGTTCCCAATCGAAAATTGTTTAGTTTTTTTTTTCATTTTATATATAAAATAAATTTTAGCATATACACTTTATTGTGTTTGTATGTTTAAATCTTAATATGTAAATTTATGCTCTAGAAATATATTATTATACAGAGTTGATATTCAAGAGCTATAATATTCATTCTAGACAATATTCAGAAAGAAATTTTTTTTTGTTCTTTGAATTTAATATTTATGTATACAATATACAAAGATCCAGCTATTAAAATGAAAATTGCGCAATTTACAGTCAGATAAAATGCACCAAGACACACACCCAAACAAATACATACTAAAATATTCAAATAGAGATATGGTATAAAAAATAAAGTTTTATTTTTATTGTTTTATTTAAAACAATATTTTTTCTTTCGGACAAAACTAGCGAATATGTGATTTTTTTAAATAAAATTATAATACAAAAAAAAGAACAAAATTACAAAAGCTTAGAGGAAACGTTAAAGTACGAAAAAAAAAATATGTGTAGGAAAAACCAGAAAAATACCATAAAATTTTGAACGAAGATTTTCCAAAAAATACAAAAAAAAAAAAAAAATTGCATACATTGCGGATGAAAAAAAACTTTTGGAATTTAAAATTGAATTTCCTTCATTTTATTTGCATATTTTCTGTGTTCAAGCTTAAATTTTGTGAATAAAAATATACAAAGTACGTGTTTTGAAATTTACAAGATTTAAAAAAAAGAATAAATTTTTTTTTTACATTTTTATTTAAAGGGTAAATAAAATGAAATACAATAAATAACATGGAAATTCAATTGGTATATTTTATTTTGCTTTTTAAAATTCCTGGGATTTTACCAAAGTAATGTAAAAAATATTGGAGTTGATCGAAAATTTTGGTTTTCAAAACATGATCAGCAATTCGTATAGAAAAACTTGCGTAAAACACGTCTTAATACCGGAAAATTGAGATAATATCATTGAATTCTAAATGATACTGTGATATCTGAGAAAATTGAGTCACATATAAACGGCAATATTTTGAAATAAAAGTAAATTTATTAATTCCCACTGTTTCACAGTTCATCAGTTTCATATTGAGATTCATTCTGTTCCATTTATGGTCCAAAACATTGTTATTCACATGCTAAATTTCGTATTTTATCTTAATATTGCTCAATTAGTTTTGCATATTTTGACACAATTATTACAAAATTTAGTACTCATATCATTCGTCTCGCCTTATTTAGATTTCAATTTCTTTTCATTTAATATATTTCTTATGAAATTTAAAATATTTATATACATTTAAATTAATATTAAAACCTAACAATAATTAATATTTTAAATACTTATATGAAATTTAATTTAAATTTCCTACTGTAAAGTTTTCTTTCTACATTACTAAATAAATAATAAAAATATTGTACAAATTGAAAATTTTTTTCTTTTTTTTACTAACCTACCATTCTATGCACTCACATAATATTATTACTGTTTTCATTTAATTATGCTTGATTTAAAAAATTAGTCCAAATTTTTTTTTTAAGTTTTTAATAATTAGCTATGTCAGTTTTTAATTTGAATTCGGAATATTTTTTTGTTATTAAAGTCATACAGTAATTATTATAAAAAGAATTGTACAAAATTATTTTAACTAATGAACTAGAACTAAAAGTATAATGATGAATTTTAGTTATAGAGATGAAATTAAAATTAAAGCATGAAATTCAAGTTTTGAAACTATTCCAGAATAATTAATTCGGCTGTAATATATGATCCTCAATTCGATGAATATAGAAATTATGTTAAAAAATTTAAATAAAATAATTTGTGTGGAGTTTGAACGTATTTAAAACTTTATTTCAATGTTTAACAGAGACTCATATAATTTTTAATGCACAAAACTTTCTGATTCTATCAGATCAAGGATTTCCATAACACACTAAAAATTCCATAATAATTGCGTAAAAATCAGCCATATTATATATTTTTCCAAAAAAAAAATTAAAATATCTACTGTTTCGAGCAACAGCTTGCAATTAACAAAAACCTATTAAAAATTTTATTTTTGAAAGAAAATATTTTAAGAATTTAAAAACATAACAATATTTTTCATTATTTCCTAAATTATGCATAGAATAAATCGCAGATAATAAATGCTTATTTGGTCAAAAGAAATAATAATTCTACCAATCTTGTCAAAACTAATTATTTTCTCACATCTTTTCCTTACAAAAACAAATAAATTTTGACTTGTTTAATTTTAAACTTAACTATTTATTTAATTTTATAGTTTCTGTCTGTTTAACCCTTCATACCCATACATCCTTCTTATATTTACACATTTCTTCTATTGTAATTTCTAATTTATCATTTTAGTTAAATCTAAAACTAAATTTTCTATTTTTTTACTGTTTTAATCCTTAATTTTCTAATAAATTATAGGTATTATAATAATTATTATTGTTATTATTATTATTTTTTTATTATTTAAGAAATTTCGAATATATTTTGTTATACAATTTTCTATATAGAATCTACATTATTATTATTAGTTTTTATTATTTTACAAATTTATTCTAATTTATTATTTTTATAATTTTATATTATATTTTTAATATTATTTTTATAATTTAATAAATAAATAAAATATTTCAAAAATTTAAATAAAAAATCATCTTCTGAATATTAAATAAATAATTGTGGACGTTGTCTGTGATATGATTGGCTGATGACATGTTATCATTGATAAAATTGTAACGATTGCTAAATGAGATGGTTGTGGTACACCGCTGCTTGTTTGCATTGCTGCCGGATGTTCACCTAAATATTATATAATTATAATTAGTAATAAAAAACAAAATTAAATGATAAATAAATAATATAATATTTATCAATAACATTTTTAGTGAACATATAAAATTTAATTTGCAATTTATTTGTAAAGGAAATGCTATAACAATAGTATACCAAATTTTACTGTTATACTAGTAGAAATGGAAATATATTGAGAATTCCGTTCCAGGTACGTAAAGCATTGATTTAAAAGAAAATCCGTTTATAAATCTACATACAAAATTATAAAATTAAACTATTTTTCAAGAAATGCTGTACTTAACTGTACCAACTAGCTAAAAATAAATCAAATATTTTTAACAGCGTTGCCGGTGTCACGAATTAAGTATCGTCTCTGTTTGGAAATTGAATGAGAATCTACCGTGGAAATGTGAGCCTTGCGACCCGCATACCGTTAAGGTGTTTCATGTGAGTCTTTCTGGCAAAATCGAAATTCAATGAGCAGAATCGTAAATGCAATCGAACGAAGTAGCGTATGAAAAAATAAGGTAATTTGAAAAAAAGCAATTCAACTCTCTTTTTTGCAAATATTTCTTTTTAATATTTAAATTTGAAGATTTCTTAAAATCTCTTGAGTTTAAGGAAATCTTTTATGCATTCCGTCATAAATTATGTCAACGTTTATATACTAAATTCATTTCTAAAATTGTGATTGAGAATGTGAGAGAAACTATGAAGAACAAATTTAATGATTTTACTATTTTACTATTTTATTTATTGTGCATGCAATGATATTATAATATTATTGTGCTTCATGTATAAAAGATAAATGTGTATGTTTTTTTACCATTGTGATTTTCTTACCATTTAATACGTGAACTTGTACAGATGCTGGAACAGCTGCACTTGGTACACATGTATAATTCCCAGAATCTCTAAGTGTTGCACGTGTTAACATTAACCTACTTGTAGTACCTGATTCAGTTTTTTCTGTTTCCAAACTAATACCACCGCGTGCTGAATCAAAATCTACTATTTTAGTACCATGATACCTATGAAATGTTATTAAATAAGAAAAAATAATATAAAAATATTATAACAGATATGAATTTTTATTTTTCCAAACTTAAATGTTTAAATTATATAATTTTTTAATGTGAGTATGAAATATTGTTTAGGGTCTAATCATTTAAATATGCCGGCTGGATTTCTTAATGTGTTTTCCGAAAATTCAGTGATATAAGAGAAAACAAGAGGCAATATAATTTATTGCTTGAATTATTTTAAAAACTCGCAGAAGTGAGTAGGAATAAAAAGATGGTAGTAGGAATAAAAAGATAGTGAAGGCGTTATTGAGATATAGCAGGGCTGATCTCAGCATACTTGTGGGGGTTCTAGCGGAACACTGCCTCTTAGGGAAAATGATCAAGTTGCCTGGGCTCACTGCCTCGGATGTCTGTCGTAGATTGCAGGATATTGCGAAGATGGAGGATGTGGAACATGTTTTTTGTGTCTGTTCGTCTCTTATGTGTAAGAAGTAACTTGGAGGATTTCTTTTATGGTGGCCTTGAAGACCTTTCGGGGGAGCTTTTATTAAGTTTGTTCCACATTATTAACATTATTAACAAAAGGTCCCATATCAGAGGAAGCGTTCTATTAAAATTTCAGAATTCGTTTCGAAAACAAAGTTTAAAACCTACGTAGTTGAAAAACTTTTAATTCCCTTATCACAGTATTGTCAGAATATTGTCAAATTTGTTTGTTTTTATAAAATATGCATAAATTCTTAGACTTCATTAGGCTTTTAAGCATTCCATGTTAAAATCCTAATAAAATCACTTAGCTTTCAATTCAATTTTTTTTTTTCATTAAAAGTAAATTTTAATATTTAATTTTCCTCTTTTTGTTCTCTAAATTTTGGGATTTGTTAAGATTTTGTTTTTTTTTTCAGTGTTTTTCAATAATTTAAACATCTGTTGACCTTCAATGGAACTGGTATATTAATTTAAAAAAGTATCCTTTTCAAAAAATAAGAGAAAAGTAGAAAGTAAAAAATGAAAAAAAAAACGGCTTTTATGAAGGAAGTTTTTTCCATCATTCTTATTATAATTTTGAATAATACAAGACCTTTTATGGTTTTTTTTTGTTGAAACTTTTAATATAAAATTTCACCTTTATACTACCGGTTAAATTAAATGTAACTACTTATATACCATAAAAATGAAAAATCTAATAATTTATTGCGTATTTTAATAATAAATTTAATAATATAACTTACCATAAAACTGAGGAAGCATGAACATTTACAGCACATGCTAAGGATATTGTGCTATCTCGTTTAACAAAAACTTCTGTTGATCCAAGAATTTTTGCACGAGCGGCTGCAAAAAACAAGTAAAAGAGAAAATGAATTAATATACAAAAAATTGAATTAATTTTAAGGTGCAAAATTATTTGAAACGGAAATTTTTTTGTGCAAATATAAATTTGATATTAAATTTTATGTTATTTTTTTTCAAAAATAATAAACACGTGAATTATGCATATTATACATATAAGCAGAACCAGTGCTGGATTGTTCTGTTTCTTACGCAGTTTTCAAAAACTACCCCCTAGCCCCTTTCAAAGCAATGAACAATTTGTAATAATATAATTACTCATTACGCCTCATAAATTACTTTCTCGTAACTTTATAACTCTGAATTGCAACATTTTTCATAGAATTGAAGTCTTGAATTAAAATTTCACGTTTTTATACCCTGCACTTCGTGAAGGGTATATTAACTTTGGTATGGAGTTTGTAACTACTTGAAGGAGTCATCTGCGGTATGGACATATATATATATTCTTGCTCAGCGTAAAATTCTGCGTTGATTTAGACATGTCCGTCCGTCCGTCCGACCGTCCGTCCGTCCGTCCGTCCGTCCGTCCGTCCGATCGAACGATAACTCAAAAACGAATAACGCAATCGACACCAAACTTTCACAAGTTGCTTCTTTTGTGCCAAGGACGAACCCTGTTGTTATTGGACCAATTCGGACAACGGGGTCGGGTAGCTGCCATACAACTCAAAGAGTTTATTTTAATTATTTCAAAAACTAATAAAGGTACAAATATAAAATTTTGTATACATGTGTCCAATTACATTCTACATATGCTCTAAAAATTTTAATGAGATAACTGCACCGGTTCGGGTGGCTGCCATACAACTCCAAAAGCAAATTTTTTATATTCGGCAAGATAACAAAGTTAGATTCATGAAACTTGGCAGTTGTGTGTCCAATTATAGGTCAAAGATATTTCTGAAGTTTCGGTGGAATTGCTTGACAGGTTCGAGTAGCTCCCATACAAGTTCAAAAGCTTACTTTAAATATCGGAAAAAATAAAAACGTTAGATTCATGAAACTTGGCAGTTGTGTGTCCAATTATAGATCAGATATACCTGCGAAGTTTTAGTGGAATTGCTTGGCAGGTTCGGGTACCTGCCATACAACTCCAAAAGCTAATTTTAAATATTTGGAAAAATAATAAAGTCAAATTCATGAAACTTGGCAATTGTGTGTCCAATTATAGATCAGATATACCTGCGAAGTTTTAGTGGAATTGCTTGGCAGGTTCGGGTACCTGCCATACAACTCCAAAAGCTAATTTTAAATATTTTGAAAAATAATAAAGACAGATTCATGAAACTTGGCAGTTGTGTGTCCAATTATAGGCCAAAGATATTTCTGAAGTTTTGGTGGAATTGCTTGACAGGTTCGAGTGGCTCCCATACAAGTCCAAAAGCTTATTTTAAATATTTGGAAAAATAATAAAGTTAGATTCATGAAACTTGGCAATTGTGTGTCCAATTATAGATCAGATATACCTGCGAAGTTTTAGTGGAATTGCTTGACAGGTTCGGGTACCTGCCATACAACTCCAAAAGCTAATTTTAAATATTTTGAAAAATAATAAAGACAGATTCATGAAACTTGGCAGTTGTGTGTCCAATTATAGGTCAAAGATATTTCTGAAGTTTTGGTGGAATTGCTTGACAGGTTCGAGTGGCTCCCATACAAGTCCAAAAGCTTATTTTAAATATTTGGAAAAATAATAAAGTTAGATTCATGAAACTTGGCAATTGTGTGTCCAATTATAGATCAGATATATTAGCGAAGTTTTAGTGGAATTGCTTGGCAGGTCCGGGTACCTGCCATACAACTCCAAAAACTAATTTTAAATATTTGGAAAAATAATAAAGTCAGATTCACGAAACTTGGTAGTTGTGTGTTCAGTTATAGATCAGACATATCCGTGAAGTTTCTATAGAATGTTTCACAGGTTTGAGTAATTGCTATACAACAATGAAAGGTGCAGGGTATAATTCAATCGGTTCATACCGACTGAAACGTTTTTACTTGTTGTTTTGTAATGTTAACACGTAATTAAAAAAAAAAATTTTTTTAAATTTTTTTCTTTTTTAAAATTTAGGTTATTTTAAGATTCGAATTTCGCCCATTTGCAAGCTTATCTTGTATATATTGTAAGCCCGACATTGCATATAGGTTTAATATTACATATATATACTAAAATTTTATGTAAATTAATTAGAACCAAACTTGAAAAGTGAAATTGTATAAAAATTTCTTTAAATCATCTACAAGGGAACAAAATTATCAAGAGGTAGATGAAACTATTCGATAAACTTCTTTACGACTCACATTATTAATAATTATCTACTATAGTAATTTACTATTAACAATAAAATGTACTTTTAAAAGAAATTCTCGAGTAAAATGCCTTAGAATGAAAGAAATATGTTCTATTAAAATTTAATATTTTCATTCTTCTTGTTAAAGGTTGTGTTAAATACTTGGCACACATCTTTGAATTCTTCATTTTTACTCAAATTTTCGATAATATTTTAAATAATTTTACATAATAAACTAATATTGAATTGCAATTTTCCCAAAAATATAAATTCAGGTACTTAATTCCTTGCATTAAGTGTAATACGGAGGAATTGAATATCGCCCAGGAACTGCAATTATTTCACAAATTCTTACAGAAATGAAATGTTTTAAATACTCTTTAGCTAAGTAATAATTTTACCAAATCTATCGTGACACAACAACTAAACCTACTTTCAACTAAAGGAGGAAAGGAAATTTTTGAATGCTATTTCAAAATATTCAACAATAAAATTATATAGAAAATATTTTTTTACACTCTTACATAAATTCTTTTTAATTTACAAAAATAATTTTGTTTTTGTTTTTTTTATAAAGTCAATTAATTTATGCAAAAACAAAAAAAAAAATACCATTTAACTCTATTATAATTGGCATTTTAAATAAAGCTTTTCCATTTTTTTTTTTTTGCTTTTACAAAATTTTTTATTTATGTGTTACAAGAAAACAAAACGAAAGAAAAACAAAACAACACGAAAAAAAAAACATAAAAATTAAAAAAAGGATTTTCTGTCCTTTTTCTCCTCAATCAGTGTCTGTCAGGCAGCGTCTGTTGAAAGCACACTAAAATGTAGAAAATTAAAAACAAGCAAAACAAAAAAAATACAACATTTTATGTTTTTTAATTTTATGGATGAAAAAGTGAACAGAGAAATGAAAGAACATCCTTAATGAGTAAATATTATATTTTAATTTCAACAATATACATATATATTCCCTTATTATTTCCCTTTTTAAACAAAATAAAAAATATAGACCTTTGAAAATAACCAACACAAATCTAAAGAATATCTGAAATATACAAATATTATAATATTATATAGAGTAAGTAAACAAAGGGAATCAAAATCCGCCTTGTTATAGTATATAAGCAAATATAATATAATATATAATAAAATTTACATGAATTCAAAAGTAAATAACAGAAAAGAAAGAAAAAACAGAAACAGAAACAGGAATATCTCAGAATACATTTTAAAAGAGGATAACGCAAATTAATTAAGTAAAAGCTGGTTACATTAAATATCTATTAACGAATGGATTCCACATAAAATTTAATTAGGGTAAATAATATTGATACGAAGGTTCATATTATGAATAAAAGTAAACATATTATTATATAATATCCTTTAAAATAAAAGTTCAGAAAAGCAAGAACTGCTGTTCATGCCGTTGTCTTAACATAGTTTTAATATTTAGGATGTTCCGTTCAAAAATTAAAATGAATTACATTTTAAATAATATTTCTTCATTTTCCAAAAAAAACTCTGTTTTCTAAAAATAATTTGTTTTAAAAAAAAATTTAATAGTAACATTGCATATTTTTAGGGGATAATAGTAACATTACGATTTTACAGAATTATAAAATGTTTCCCAGTACAAAGTTAAGTTATCAAGTCAGTTAAGGAGTGGAATAATCTTGGAAAGGAGTAGAGACTAAACGCAATTAAAGAAATTTTTACATGGTTTCAGATTATTTTTCTATATTTGATGATAGATGATTGAACGACATGATTCGAATAACTCCAATAATTTTTGAAATTTAATTAAATGTATTAAATGTATGGGAAGAACAAGACGAAAAAATAATAGTTTTTAAAGCAAGATCAATTAAGTAAACATTACTTTATTGACTTGGAGTACTTAAACCAAATAATTTCAAAAAAAAAAATTCGAATTGCTTTAAATTTGCTTCAATAACTTGTTTAACCTCATTTTTCTAAAAACTTCTTATGAATTTAAATTTATGAGCTGGAGCTGTTGAAGCAAATTATTTGGAATTTTTAAAATATTTAAAATTTTTACAGCGTATACTCCATGGAAGTACACGTTAAATAATTCTCTCAGTTCATCGAACTATATAACATAAAACGGAACACCTTGTTTTAAAAATATTTAAACATTCAGTGACCAATAACACGACCCCTATTTATTATATAAATAATTGATATAAAATATTTATTGGGATTTTAAATTAAAAATTCGATTATTTCTGATAAAACACTATTTAAAAAAAAAACATAAAAATAAAAACAACAAAAAAAAATATCCTGAATTTTAAATTATATAATGTAAATAAGTAAATGGTATCTCATTATTTACGATAACATTAAATTAATTAATGAATAATGTATAAAGAAAAGTTAAATAAATTTTTTTTTCAAAAGAATTTAAAGATTCAAAAGATAGCTAATATTGAAAGATATTTTAAATTTTTAATGGTATACGTAATCAAAAAAAGCATACTTTTAGGGTTCTTCAAACTTGTTTCTCAAATAGTAACAAAATATCTATAGTAGGTACGAGTTTGAAGATAGATATTAATAATATAACAGGAAAATAGTGGGAGGAAACGAGCATAACACCCTGTTGATATTTTAAGTAGCATTATGATGTAAGGGATTACTGCATATTCTAAATTTAATTCGAATATTTGATTCACATTTGTATTCAAGTCAAGGATAGGAATGTGCCATAACACAAAATGTGCACTGTAGCAACAGATGACGGCACATAAATTGCAATAGAGTATTGCCAAACAAGAGTAGTTCACCACCTAGCCCTGTTTTCTGGACAATAATGCAACACGCGCCACTCAGTCCTCTTTTTTCCACAAGCTCACAATTACTGCAAAAGTGATTATCTTTACGATGCAATTTTGTTGTTATCGAATTTTTTTTTTGATTCCTTGTACCAAACATGATACAGAAGAATTATAAAACTGTATAAAAAGTAAGGAATTGGTGTATGAAAATTATTGTGCTATTTACATCAGTTTTATATACATTTTAAATAAATCGTATATATATAGTAAGGTTAATCAACTTAAGCGAACTTTTCTAACAATTTTGTCTTTTAAAAATGTTAGGTGTGTCTACATTATGATAGTGTGAATACTTTCCCCTTTTATATGTAAATTAATTTCACAATTTGAGCTTTCAGCAGAACATTTAGAACATTTCTGATCTTTTATTTTGTTTCTGCATTTTTGAAAATGTTTTCATATTACAATTTTCAATTGCATTTTCAAGAGATGCAAAATATAATAAAATTGTCCAACAAACAACAAAAAAAAAAAAACTTTCTATTATCTTTACTATTATTCTATTATTCAACCATACCCTCATATTTTATTTACTGAATTATAATTCACACATATACAAATATAATAATAGCATACTAGAAATCATAAATTCCCTATAAAACAAAGGAAAAACTTAAGGGTTAAACTTATAATATACACTTACCTGTAACATCTAGTGATACGGCTAAATTGATTTTTGGTTCTGTATTTACTTGACATTCATATATTCCACTATCGCGTTGTTGGGCATATTCTATTTTTAAATCCCAATCATCTGTATTTGGTGTATGTAATACAGAAAATCTTTGATCACCAGTATATGTATAAATGTTTGTTGTTAAAATATGCAGATCACGTTTTCTCATCCAGGATACCTACATACATATTCAAGTGGCATTTAAGTTAGTAAAATATAGAACAAAAAAAAATATAGTAATGTATAAAAAAAAAAAAATAAAAAATTTAAACAAATAACAGGGAACAGAAAACAAAGGAGAGTTATAAAAATTATCTAGGTAGCATCCTGGTTACATAATATTATAGATACGTCCCATTAGACAGGAGAGTATTGTATGATAATTTCTACGCATTTATTAATGTTCAAGAAGCAAAAATGAAGGAGTATAATTAGAACTTATTTACTGTCAATGCAACAGTGGCTCTATGAGCAACAAAAAAATTAACATTATTCATTTGTAAACTGAAATAGTTTTTTCAATATTTAAAAAGATTATTATTTGAATAGCTTCTGAATTGAAGAGCTATTAGAGGTATTATACAACTGTGGCTGGGGGTGGTTTTTGGCATTAATGTTTCTAATTCTGCTTATAATAGTTCGACTATGTTGAAAATAAAATTTGAATAATTTATAAGAACGGGGCGTGCAAAGAATATTCCATTATAATAATTAAGAATAATTCATGCTGTTTCCACTATTTCTTGAACACAATCCTGTATTATCTGATAAAATTTTTCAATTGAATTAAAAATAGAATTCAAAATCGTTTATAATATAATGGAATATAAAAACCAAATGATATAAAAACCTTGAATAAAATATACGAATTAACAATTTTCTGGAAAAACTTTTATCCTGAAGGTACCTAACCTATTTCAATAGATAATCTACACATTTTTGCTATACCATAAATTTAAGCTGAATCATTACTATTACTTCCCATTTTGATTCTATTTACAAAAGTAATATAGAATATGCATTTACATCGTATATTTACAACAAAAACAAACATAAGGATACTAGCTGCACAATATGCAATAATACTATATTGTTTGTATGTATTTTACGTTATAGTATTACGGTCATTTGATCGAATATTATAATTGTTAACGATAAAACCATTTTATGATTCTATAATTTAGCAAGTATATGATAATAAAAATAAAAAATCGAGTTACAGAAAATAGAAAATAACTATACTATGAGGATTATGTTATCCTTGTTGACAGGATATACCGAAAAAATAATGTTAAACTGAGACTATACATAATAATTTTATATTACAGATAAAATCAACACTATCTACATGCACTTAGGATTTTGTTTATCAACTACATGCATTTTTTGTGTCGGTGTACAGGCAGTTTTTGTTGTATAATATAAAAACTTTTGTTTTATGACCATTAATTCAAGAATATCCTTTTTTTTTACCTATATGTCTTTAGTTTTATCATTTTAATATAATTATGCATGTGCTTTTGTACTTTAATAATATATTCATGTAGCTCATGCAAATATTGAATTTCTGTAGAGAATCATACAGTGTAATACCTGTGCATATTTTTTAGTCCTTTAGGAATCAAATATATTACACTTTTATTGTACTGAATATACGTTGGAAAAATACAAGTATTGTTCACCAGTACTGTAATAAAATTTATTCACTTTACACTTTATATAGTTACTCCCGTTGTATAAGATTGAAGTGTACCAGAAAAACAAGTTGGTACTGAGTTAATTTAAATTGAAAAAAATTGAATTTAACTAAAAAAGCTAAATATACTCAAATTTGGATATTTTCAGACGAAAACTGAAATTTTAAGAACAACTTTCAAACGAAAAATATTTTGTGTTTGAGAAATGAACTTGTGTTCGATACTATAAACTCTCAATACTACATTCAAGTACTTTTAAGAATTTTAATTGTCATCCCCTATAAAGAGGTCTAGGCGGTCAAGATTATATTATTAGAAACCGAGTAAGATGACAGTAAGATTGTACGAATTTTGTATAATGATTATGTAGACCGAATTTTCACATAAAATTAAATAGATTTCCTCAATAATATGAAACACGAACAAAATGCTGCTTTTGTTATTTTTTCTTGAGTGCATAAACATTTTATATAAGAATTTTTTTTATATACCTAATTAAATTATTATTCAACTAAAATAAATACAAAATTAAGAATATTCAATACCTGTATGAAATCAATTCTGTTGTATGGCTCCGAAATATGTCTTGCAAAAAATTAATAAACTGACAACACATAGGTATTCATAAATAGAAGCCTAAGAATCATCTTCCAATTATTCTGGCCCATACAAATAACTAACACAGACCTCTTGGCTTTAACACACAAGAGCAAGAGCGTATTGCAAGAAAAACAAGAAAGAGAAAATGAGAGTGGATAGATCACATATTGCGATGGCAATCCGGAGCAATTGCAAAACAGATATTGGAGTGGAATCCGCAAGTGAAAAGAAGCGTTGGATGACCCAAGAATAAATGACAAAGAACAATAAGAAGAAATATTTTTGGGAGCTCCATACTCCCCAACAGAGAAAAATAGAGAAAAAAAAGCAAATAAATAAATTATTAAACTTACCGTACGATTTCCTTTATTTTTTACTCTACATTTTAATATTGCAGTGTCATCAACTACGGTGGTAACATTTCTAGGACTAATATCATCAAAATATGGTTTATCTAATAGTCCTGAAAATATAAAAATAAAAAGACAAATTAATTATCTTCGCAATCAAATAAATTGTAAATATTAAAGAGTATCTTAATATTGCATACTTTTAGGGATTTGAAAATTTTAAAGAGCAATAATTTTCATTTGATTACAAATGGAACACTTTTTTTTAAATACATTTTTAGCTATATTGAAAGAATTCTTTTTAATAACTTCAAAATTCTATACATTATTTACGAAATATTCTTGGAATTTACTAATTTATTAACTAGTAATTCAGAATATTTAAATATTTATATTTTTGTACAAATACTGATTTAATTTTAATAATTTTTCTAATAATAATTTAAATATTATTGAATATAACCCAGCTATTATATAGATACCAAAATATCTTAATAATTTCATACATAATAACACCGAGTATACAATAATTATTTTTAGTGCAAAATATTTTTGAAATAATTTCAAATTAATTATCTAGCTATCTTTTAACCTTCAGTCCGACATAAATAATAAAAATATTCAAAATTTTTCATGCATTCAGTAAATTTCTTCTCATTATTTTTTATTCTAAAAATTTATTCATCTGTAATATTTGACATGATTTTTTTATTGTTAGTTTAATTTTTTTATTATTTTGATTTATTAATGTACAAAAATTGTTTTATTTACAAAATCCTTATATAAATATACATTAATATTTTAAATAATATAAATGCATTTTATAAAATATATGAATAAATATTTGGAAAAATTTCATAATGTATAAGTGCTATTTATTTAGATAAATTAAACAGAAAAGTAACCAATTAGGTCTATATAGAAATTATAGGAATTTTTTTAAAAAGGATATTGTGGAAAATTAAAAAACAAACTGGAAAAACCAAAGTTGACCACGCCAACTCTGTGATACCCGTACGAATAAATGATTTTCAGTGCCGGAGACAATTAACATACAGTCTTATATAACCCATTTTTTTTATATGCCTAGTGTTATTTTATTCATATAATTGCAGTTACTATATAAACTCCACCAAATTCCTCTGTTCAAATTACCAAACATTTCAGTTTTATAGTCTATTCAGTTTTATAGTTTCAGCGCTATCAATAAACAGCTACTGAAGTTCTATGGCAACTACCACAATTAGTCGGGAAATTTCAACGAATCTTATCTAACACAAAGGGTTGTTATGATAACAAACATTAATTCCTGACATATGAGCAAATAAATTTTGAAGTTGTATGCCGAAACATCACTTCGATCATATCCTATTTAAATAGGGTTCCATTTGATACTATAATTCATTTATGAAAATTTAGTTCAATTAGCTCAATAATAGCTTTTAAATTATCGTTGAGACGAATGGACAGATAAAATTAAATCGACTCAAAATTCGACGCTGATCAAAAACATATACTTGGGTCTATATCATAGACCATTATTTATAAACGTTACAAACGGCAAATTTAGTATAACCTTCGAAAATATATAAATATTGGGTATAACGAGGATTATAGCCAATAGTTGACACAAGATGGATAGCTTCATAGAATTATAAATCATTTTATTTAGTAACCTCTGGAATGCAACATGAATAATACTATAATCATGTTGACCAGAGTATTTAAATATTTGATCACTATTAAAATTATTTGAGGCACAAAGCTAAAATTCAAATATTTATATTCAAAATTTGAAATTCAAAAATATCTAAAATTATAAAATATTTGAAATCATTTTGTTCCTATTGAAATTATTAATAATTTTGAATTAAAAAAAAAAATATTTAGCTATTTAATCAAATATTCATTAAAATTTCATATCAAAAACCAATCATTATAAAATCATTTTTCGTATTCCAAAAAAGTACCACAAAAATTATAATGATGTTTACTCAAAACTTAATTTTGAATTAACCATAATTATTCTTTTACTCACTATCTAACCCATATTTTTAATTAGAAAGAGGTGAAATATATTAATATTCTAAAAATACTATATTCCAAAATAACCATAACCTTAAAATAATTATTTATTTTTACTATTGTATAGGATAGAAATAAAATAATTTTCTTGCCAAATAAGTTTTTCAACAAACCATAAAAATTTTCTCTCTTGTTCCTCTTAAAATTCATTTTTACGTCAGGTTTAAATGATAAATTATTTTCTCTTATTTTGAAGGTTATTATTTTCATTTGCATATGATTCAAAAACAAAATGAAAATAGACCAAATAAATATGAAAAAAATAGCAAAAAGAAAAATTTACTCTTTTGCGCGAAACTAAATAAAAACTTTCCCATTTATTTTTTTTTCCTAAAATCTAAAAAAATATGTAAGAAAAATTCTTATTTTAAAGGTTTTGGAGGAGATGCAAAACAAAAATAATAATAATGTTGGCTTTTAAAAAAAAAACAAAAAAAAAAAAAATTTTTTTTCAAAAATTTTCTCATCAATCACCAGGTTGTTAAATTTAAACCTTAAAAAATAAATTGGAAAAAAAAAAAAAAATTATTTGGGTTTCTACCAAAATGTTTTTCTTTTTTTTTTCCAATTAACCGAATTTTTTGAATAATGTAAGCAAGAATATGAATTCTATTTAGAAATATGTTTGAAGTTTTTCTTTGATTTTCAAGGATATTCAAGGATATTTGTATATATTTTTTTGATTTATTCACATTATAAAAATGTTAGACAACATTATAAGTATTTAGGTGAGGAAAATTGCATAATAAAAAATTTTTAATAATGAAATTCTCTTTATAAAAGAATAATTTAACACTCTCCCACATAAAATATGGTGAATAAATTACAAAAAAAAAAATAATTTAAAACTAAATTTTAAAAAATAATGCAGTTTTAATAAAAATTTTTGTTGTTATTTTGTATAAGTTTTTATATCTTCTATATGGCATCAATGAAATTCGAATTTTTAAAATTTATGTATTAAGTTCTTTTGAAAATAGCCGCCCCCCATGATAACTATTTAAAAAATTATAAATTTTTCTCCGGGTATTCAAAAACTCTTAATAATGTTTAATAGTGCTTAATAAAAATAATGCAAATATTTTCTAAAAAAACCCAATTAAATGGAGGGTCGTAATTGGAATGAATGACTTTAGAAGTGTGAAAATTTTTCTAATAAAATTTTTTTCAAATTAGTTTTAAAACTAAAATTATAAATTTATTAATAAAAAAATAATATTATAATAAATTCTTTTTTCTAAATTATGTGAGTGAACTAAGGATATTTTTGGATATTTAAATTTATTTGCTTTTTTTCGTAAATTAAATTTTTCGTAAATAGTTTTTATTAATTTCTTGATAATTCATAAATCCTTTGTTTTGCACGCATTGGCTCGTAATATGATAAAATAGTATATTTTTTATTTTTATTGATTTATAGAAATTTTTGTAAATTAATAGCTATTTACGATCAAATAAAATTCGAATAAAGAAAATTTTTTTTACTCTGAACAAAATTAATTCCCTAAAAGTATGCAATCTATTTAGATATATTAATGTATTTAACAGTTTTTCTCTTTTTGCATGAATTTTATGTGTTTGAGTAATTATGTATGATAATTTCATATATATATTAGAAAAATATCAAAAAAAATCTGAACATCAGGATGTTAAAACATGAACCATATTCTGCAATAGGTTTTATTGGAGCAATTAAATTTTCATATTTGGTGTGATTTAAAGTGATTTGGTGTGAAATTGACTGCTTATATTTCAAAAATATTTTCAAGCAATTTCAGAAAAGGTAATTATGTTTTTGTTGTTGATGATGTCAATTTAAATTTAATAATAGCATAACTTTTTTCGTTAGATTGAAATTTTAAAAGGAAATACAATATTAAATTAATTTTCTTTTTGAAAATTTTCGCAAAAAAAAAAACTCGTACCTGTTTTAATAGTAAAACATTTTTAATTCTTAATGAAATGTTTTCTCTTTTATTGATTATTTTCCAAAAATTATCAATTATACTTCAATTTGTCTTTAAAATTTAAGAGTAAATTCGTTTACTGCTATAATGGACCTAATATAGTTCGATCAAAAAAATAATAAAATTTATTTATAGCCCGAGTATTTATTTATACTCGTAATTTATGTATATAATATAATATGTGAAATAATATCTGTTATATATCTCTATATATCTTTAAATTATCTATCCAATCTCTATATTTATACTCTTATTTAAATTATAGTAATTTAGTAGTTAAAATAAAAATAGTCAAATATTTGTCGTATCGTATATAAAATAATTTTCCTATATCTATATAATATTATCATAGAATAAAATCCAAATATTTAAAAAGGACTTGTATTTTATATACTCTTCTAAAAATATGTTCCAAAAAATAATAATAATATGTTCACATACATTATTATATTAACCCATTGATCCAAAATTTTCATTTGAAACTAAATTAAAATGGATTCTATAATGAAGTGGTTTTGCCTGAACATAAATATTTTCTTTTATATAATATCTAGATATACATACAAACTAAGTGTATATGTAAATATAATTTTATAGATTTCGATTTTTTCGAAGACAAAAGCCAAAAACACTTTATTAAATAGAATCCAATATTATAATAATGGTAACAAAAATGTTATGCACATATTTTTAATACAAAAAAAAAAAAAAATAGAACACAAAAAAAAAGGATCCTTTTTTAAAATTTATTATGAAAAAACTACTAGCTATATAAATTCATCAATTTTATATTTCTATTGTAAATCAAAATTTTAATAAAAAAAAAATTTATACAAAATTATGTTCTTTGTTTTCTATTTTGAAACTTTTTGTCTTTTCATTGATTTTCAAGTAAAATTAAAAGAAAAAAAAAATTTCTAAGAATAGGATTTTTAGAAGAATAATGTAAATTTCTTAAAAATTAAGGAGTATGCTAAAAATATTTGGTGTTAAAATTCACATCGAACATAGTCATCAAATGTGCAAAGGTTATTTTCAAGCACAAGTCATTAACTAATAAT